GGCAGTAGCAGTAGTAGTAGCAGTCGTAGCAGCAGCAGCAGCAGCAGCAGCGGCAGCAGTAGTAGTAGTAGTAGTAGTAGCAGCAGCAGCAGCAGCAGCAGGAGGAGGAGGAGTAGTAGTAGTAGGAGTAGCAGTAGTAGTAGGAGTAGGAGTAGGAGTAGGAGTAGGAGTAGGAGTAGGAGTAGGAGTAGTAGTAGTAGTAGTAGTAGTAGTACGGTGGATGGAGGAAATCCTGCACCACCTGCCTGTTCTGATTCGGGAACCCCTTCCGAGCAACGACCCCGAACTCCCTCTTGAAAATTGACGACGGACCTTCATGGGGCGGTGCAAGATTCATGTCATTGGAACGATTTTGCAAAGCCCCGTGTTCATGCAATCTTTAGAAGCGGGCAAAAGCCGGGGCTGCAAGATTTCCTCCATCCACAGCAGTGGTGGTGGTGGTGGTGGTGGCCGTAATAGTAGTGTTGGTGGTAGTAGTAGATATTGTCATTGTTGTCGTCGTTGTTGTCGTGGTCGTAGTCGAGTGCGCAGGCAGTCAGTTGCAGTAGAAGTAGTATTTTTAAGCAGCATCCCTTCCCTCATGACCTCTTGCACCCTGAGCCAACATCATGCCACTAGACCGAAAAGCCAGGTGTTCCATCTCGTGACGAGAGCGACCTGTAAAGACTTCTGCTCGCGACCGGGATGAGCATTCACAAGGGGCCTAGTAGTAAATTTGATGGGAGAAACCATGCACTTCTGACGGTAGGTACACGATTTACTCGTTACTGTGTTTTGCGACGATGCTCTCCTATATCTGGAAGAACATGCGAGAGGACAGAGACTAATCAGCTCTCCTCCATCCATACGGGCTTCACCAGCTGTCCGTCCAAGTCCCGAAACTCCGGGATGACGACCTCCTGGAGTTTGAAGCAATCTTTCCAGGCGAGATGGCGACTGTTCCGAATACGGTGAGTTCTCATGTCTAAACTAACACACCCAGTTCTGGTACCAGGCGGAAGGGTGTTTATGGATTGATCGGGGTATGCATCCTCCTTCATGCCGGCTTGTTAACACATGCAGGGGTCGGTCATGCAACACGAACACATGGGCACGAAAACCAGCTTGCGTGAACATTCCGCCCGCAGTGCGATTCCAGGGTCACCGAATCGATGTTTGGCCATCTTCCAAGATTTTTCGGAGACACGTTGCTAGTGCGCCGCATCACTATGAATGCCTTAAGCAGCTTCTGTCGGACCGACAACATTGAAATTCGACGTCTCTGATACCGTCGAAAATGCAACCTGCAGGGCAGTCGAGAGGCAGGCCCGACTATCTTCATCGGCACGTGGAACAAGGTGTCGCAAAGGTAGTCATACATCCTTTCGGGGCATCTGTTCGGAGCTCAAAATCCTCACGGCCAATAGCTACGATGACCTGTAAGGCGCTGAAAGCCGTGGACAAACGAAGATCATGGCAAACACTGCCTGAATCAATCATCCAAGCACGTGGTCTTCCTAGACAGTGCAATCGTAGTAGTACATGCATCGTGGCCAGCAATCAAAGCAGTATGGCGCATGCAGCTCTAAATATCTATGCCCAAGCATTTCTTTTGCAAGCATTTGGCTCGCGAACATGCCCCCTCCTGACCCGCGGCGTCATTCCAGCTTCCTCCTGTGCTGCGAGGATAGGTGCTCGCTCGTGCTGAGAGTTTGGTGTCCCATCCAAGAACTCAAAGCAAAAACAGGACACACCAACTGCCATTGCGTGCAGCAAGAGTAAACTGCTTATGGACTGCAAGCTCTGCCCCAACAGCCTCCGGCTGCCGGTAGTGCAACCTCGCGTGTTCGAAATTCGTCAGGGGCTTCCCCAATCTCGGATTTCCATGCATGGACTGTGATCGCCTGCGGGGGTCTCGAAGTAGCAGCAACAGCAGCAGCAGCAGCAGCAGCAGCGGCAGCAGCAGCAGGAGTATAGTCGTCGTCGTCGTCGTCGTCGCAGACGCAGTCCCGATCGTCCTCGTCTTCGTTGTCGTCGTCGGGTTGTCCTCGTCGTCTGTCCTCGTCGTCCGTCGTCATCGTCGTCGTCGTCATCATCGTCGTCGTAAGTAGGAGCGGGAGGGGGAGTGGGAGTGGGAGTAGAAGCAGGTAGGTAGTAGTAGTCGTCGTCGTGGTGGTGGTGGTGGAGCAGCAGCAGCAGCAGCAGCAGCAGCAGCAGCAGCAGCGGAAGCAGGTCGTCAATGATGCTGCGGCTGCAGGAGCAGGGCTTGCAGCTCTGTTGTCATTGCTATCGTGGTTGCGATAAAGTTTTCGGCCCTTGCAGCGAACTAAAGTAAGCTTCAATCAAAGGGACAGGATCTCAAGTCGATCGCGCTGTTTCTTCTCGGCGGCCTGCAGGCGGAAACGTTCCGAACCATAGACGACACTGTTCATGAAATGCGGCCAAGGCTTGCAGTTTGCCATTGCGCAGCTGATTGGCAGCCATGTATATCTCAGAAAGAAATTCTGTGCAAATCCCAAAGTTCCACCTCACGGCACGACTACACCCAAAAGCCCCGGCAGCGTCACAGCGACTCAATGTTCTTCAACTGCATAGATCCCTACAGCCCTAGACACCTGCCATTTGACCACAATTCGCTGGTGCAACCTCAGGAACTGGCCGCGTGTCGAATCCTCCTATGGTCCACTCCACAGCCATCTGCAGAGCCTTGCCATGTCCTAAACCTTATGCACACCGATTGGGGTGTAGGCTCGCAGGTGGGCTCCTATACAGTTCAGAAGCTTCGGGAGGCTCGAGGTGCAGTAAGGACTCTTGATTTCGGACCAGAAGGAAGAGCTGGAGGGTGGATATCGATGTTGAAACGCTTAGCATCATGACCATTAGCAAGGACGCTGCTGAGAGTTTGACCCTTGTGATCTTTCTACATTCATCTGCAAAAAGCAAACGACCTTGAACGAAAGACGACTTCCAGGCCGCTCTCTCAAAAAACACACCCGCAGGAATCTCTGGCTGTTCACCTCGCTACATAGATTTCGCTCGATGCTTCGCAACGTTGTGATCTGGATAGGCCCCCCACACTATGAAATCTTCCATCCGGCCTGCAGGTGTCCGCGTTCTGGATTCACTGGGCATCCTCGCACCCCGCTGGACGGGGTCGTCAGTACCTGACACGGTCAGATGGATGCGAGGCTTGTCACCCTGCTACACTCCCTGCACGGTCTAGCGGAGGGTTCAACGACCGATCGGCACACAGGGCGGGATCTTAGAGTAGCTGACGGTGCCTACTCTCAATCTGACCTCCGCTGCCCGCTGAAAGTCCGGCGACTCCCATGCAGCTGCTGTTAGTGCCTGGGCCTTGCGCCATGCAAAATCTTACAACGCAACGTTCGCACTCACTTGCAGACTTTGCAGCAAGACTACTCGGAGAGGAAGACTTGTGACTTGTTGCTTGCCATGCTCGATTTGATGTGTGCAGCTTTCAAGTCTGCCAAAAGTGGCTTAAAGCGATGTCTGGAGGAAAACAACCGAGAACGGCCTCCGGATCCTCAGCGCAAAGCTTCCGAGTCTCAGCCATGCTGTATCCATGGCACCCATGCAAAGCGCAATCCGATGTCTCTGTGTTTGGTTTTAAGTTTAGTGTTGCCGGCGTGTGTACTTTATATTCGTCTGCGACGGCGAGTCAGCCCAGGTCCGAGAGAGTTTTCAGCTGTAGCTCTGCTGGGCAGAGTCGCTCTGCAAGTGAGTGTTAGTCCTTCTGTTCAACGTGGATCAGCTGGCTCAGAAGCTTGAGGTTACATGTGGTTACATGCCCGAAGGAATAACGCCCCCTTCTGGTGCATCCTTACAAACCAGGGACCACGACCTAAAGTCAAGCTCAAGGCGACTTCGCTCTGAGAGGGCGCGGCAAAGCAATCTCACAACGTGCCGTACAGCGTATGTATGTATGTAGAATTAAATAAACAAATAAACATATACATATACATATATATATATGTATGTATATATATGTATATGTATATGGGGAATATGGGGTGATGGTTTTTCACACGTACTTTATCAGACATGAGACTGCCTCTATCGCGTGCGAACCAAAATTTTATCAGCCAAGCAACAGCAACAGCAACAGCAACAACAGCAGCAGCAGCAGCATCCTAGCACCCGGTTCCATAATGGAAAGGACCCGGTTAGCCCCGGACGAGCATCATATATGAGTGACTTTATCAAGCCTGGAAGCTGTCCTTTATCAGACACAGCCATTTGCTCTGGCGGACACGTGCGTCGATCAAAGCAACTCGGAGACACCGAGAATTCAAACAATGCCAAAGGAATTTCCTTAGCCCCTGAGAATACATGATGTTCAATTGCATGTGCAAGACCCTGTCTATGACCATACAAAGCGTAGCTCTTCGTACAGCAAACAAACCGCTTTTGACTAGCGGACGATCCTCCGGGGCACAGCAGCACACGTAGCTCTATGCATTCTACAGACTCCTGCAAATGAATATCCAGCTCCAAATCTAAACTGCTCCTGCCTGACGCGCGGCCCTAAACCCTTAAACCCCTAATTGAACCGTAAACCCTGCTGGCGGCTGCTGCGTCTGTTGCCACATATCACTCGCCATGCTTTCCTAGTGGACACCTAAATGCATAGCTATCTCCTGACAGCGAGCTCCAGCTATTCCTAATAAAGCGCGCGGTGTTTCCTGATGAAGCGCCGGATATTTTCTGATGAAGAGGGCGGTGTTTTCTGATTAAGAAACGGCGGATGGTGTATGATAAACCTCCCGTGTCGTTGAAACATGGCACGCTGAAAACTCAATAATTTTATGAAAAAGACAGTCCCCTATATATCTATATATATATATGTGTATATGTCTATACACACACACACAGATATGGACAAACAAACCTGAACGAGCAAATAAGTGCTCCCTGGCAGCAATCTCAGCTGCCGCATTGTCACTGCAACGACATGTGCCTATACAGATGCCAGAACGAATACTTTTACCAGCCTTCCGCTTTAGTTCGCTCTCAAGGCTCTCAAGCATCGATCAGGCAAATTCCCTGGCCAGTCTCTCTGAACCATCGTGCCTTGAAGGAACGCTGCTCAAGCAGGTGCTCACAGTCGAAGAGCCTCTGAATTGGATACCGTGAATGATCAGGTCTATCTGTGCGGCAGCCTGTCGTGTACCAAACTTCAAAAACTCAGCCACTCACCTACTCGCAGACTCAGATGCTCGGATGCGCAGGCATTGAAAACTCTCGCCAAACGCGCAACTACCAAGTACTCAATCTGACACACAGGCACTAAAATGCCCCATGAAATCGGACGCATATGAGCGTCTCACGTCCAATACATGCCGAGTGATCTTGCTCGCTAGGTATTCACAGCGACGACTTCACGGATCCAGGACCAGTCAATGTTTTTGGAGCGTCGGGTCACGAAATTTCTGCACTGAAGGCGAGTGGCATCTGCTGCCAGGCACGGATATCCTGAAACTCGTCAGTCATTTCCTGGCCACACAAAGTTTTGCAATGAACAGACCTTTGACTACACCCATGAAGCAGCAATCTCAAAGAGTCAGCAAAACACCGCATGGGGTCCCCATAATATCTGCGAAACCCTCAATTCGGTTACAGGGCAACGGATAAACGGTCACGATCCGGAAGACATACTTGGATTGACGGGCAACTGTGAGAAGACACGACAACAACATATAGCACCTACTGCAAGGCCACGGTAAGGTTTACTGGAATATAGTGCTTGGAAAACCCGTGGCTTACTTCCCCAATAAGCCAAAGAAATTAAAGGTTAAGTTGCAGATTACTACTAAACCATAAGAACACCAAAAAGTTTGAGGGTTTGGTATTGGAGAACTAAGGTGGGCGAAGCCTGATAAGCGCGATTCAACGGGTCCTTTAAGGTGTTTCCTCGGAACTGCTCCAGCTGCTGTTCGAAGTCGACAAGTTCCGCCGCACTGCTGGGCCTGAATAGCATGTTCACTTCCGGACTTTCTTTTACTGTTGCCGGTCAGCATCATGAACCTTTGCCAGGTTTTTCGGGCGCTTCCACACGCCCATGACGGTGCAAAGCAACGTCTTTGCCGGACGTTCACTTGAACCCCCCAAGTGCTGGGCTTCCTGGAGAGAGATGCGACCTCTGAAGCTCGGGGGGGCATGTAGGCTTTAGGACTCGAGGAGCTTCTGCTATACATTTGTACATACATATATATATATTATATATATATATATGTATGTATATGGATCAGCATGAGAAGTGAGGATCAACATCTGGGTTTTGGCGCGGTGCGGCAGCTGCAATTGAAACACTCGCTCTAGCACTCCAAGCGATGTCGAACCTGCAACACAGACCTTGACCTTGCTTTTGCGTTTAAAGTTTATGTTTACAGTTTCCTTGAGACTTGAGATTTGGGACCCGTTTACGACTCGCCCAACTCCTCACCCTCCCACCCCAGAACAACACCAAAATACAACACACACGACTGCCATGCGCCATGCTGAACTCCAACAGTCGAGAGCACCAATCCCCGGGCGTCGATGCAAGGCGCTTTTCTGGCAATGTTTGGCAATGGATGCAGCGCGATTTTATGGCTCCACGCTACGGAGCCCAAAAAAGACAGTCCCAAACGGACCATCTGAGACGCATTGAGTATTGAGGGATAGGAGGCACAGGGGGATCTGGAAGCTGCAAACGCAATGAAGTCCGTGTCCCATGCCTTTCCCTTAAATGATGAAATATGCCTTCTGCTTGGTGAGGAGACATCTTGAAGAGAGAGAAAATTGCCTTGCGAACCTCAGAGTGTCTTGTAACTCAGGGCGCAAGGCCCTACTCTCGCGGAAAATCTGCACCTTCGGATTCGATGGCCTCTGCCACAACCCCGCGAGCAGCAAGCTCACTGGCACGTGCAATGCAATGCATGCATGTGGGGCAGGAGGAAAAACTACGGACCTGTACACCGCAAACCAGCAGGCCAACAGGAACTACAACATCAACCAGAGGAAGGAGAAGGATAATCCTCAGTCACAGCCGGGGTAATGGGCGTGAAGCCGCTGTGAACAGGCACTATCAACCTGCTGATCCTGCTGCTTGTTCACACATCATCATTACCACCACCACCACCACCACCATCATCGTCGCTGTCATCTGCGATAACACGGCGGCGATAACGACGAGGGGAGAACGAGGACGAGGACGACAACAGGTATCGGTACAAAACATTTGTGGACAACAGAGACGAAAGAGTAGTAGTAATCGACGGCCTATGTTTTATCACCACGGCTAGTCATATGAGGCAATGCAATGGCTGCAATGTTGCAGCCACAACTGCCACGAACTACATGCGCAATTTCAACAGGAGTCACTTTGCAGCTAGATTAAATCCGAGTGGTAGGACACTGGAAACAGGAATGCTCAACATACAAGCACAGCGCTTGCTGGTCTGCCGCGACAGTTGTCCCAGGTATGCATCAGCAAACGCAGCCCTTGCAGCCGCACGACACATCGATACCTTAGAATCACTCTCATGCCAGTATTTCTACGCGTGGTTTCCATGGGCTTCGAAACTCTTGTGGTGTGAGGTTCGAGGTCTAGGAAAGAGTTCGCAAGGCGAGAGCTTCATGGGGCAACACTTCACAATGCAGCTGCGCAACCTTCCTCCTCTGCCCCGAAAAACGAAAATGCCGAAGGCTCGGCATGACCCGAGGCGGGTCTTGCGGCAAGGCGCGCGTGTAGCCGTCCCGTGTGCAAGTCTGTGCAACACGCCTCCCCGGAACCATCAGGTTGGCCTCATCGAGCCAGTTATGTTTAGAGGGGCACCTTGGCTTCGGAGCTCTCGTCTTTCAAAGCTTAGAGATTCAAGTTCTATGTCTAGCAATATGCATCTGGGCGACTGAAGGGACCCAACAAATCCCGAAACACATACTCTGAGCAGCAAGGTTCTAGATGTTGGAAGCCCCTTTCTTGCCTGCTTCGCGAAATCTGACCATGTGCCCCACTTGCGTTTGGAGGCTCGGGGCTGCAGCAGGGGCTTCGTGCTGAATGATGCTGAGTGTAAGCCCGCCTGAACGTTGGTCATGAAGGCACCCGACGGCTTTCTACCTGGGCTCGGCAGCTGCAGGCGGTTTGAAGATATTCGCTGATCTCTGTGAACTCCGAGCATGGACTGCTCCGCCGTAGGAACGAACACTCCGGAGTTGACGGAAAGCCTCGCTAGAAGCTTGCCTGGCATTGCCTGCCTCGCCTAAGGCCTAAGGGCCTGGGGCCTAAGGCAAGAAGCACGCCTGAAGCAACCTCCATGGATGAGGGTACAGAAGGATGTGACAAATTCTGCATACATGTGCAACCTCTCGCAACCAAGCCAAGATTCAAAGACCCCCCCGATCCTCCGAAACTGCAACAATCATTTCCCATGTGCAGCTCCGGATTGACATCTGCTTGCGCACAGAGGCAGTCCATCATCCGTGTCAGGCAGTATGCAAGCCCTGCACCCCAGTCCTTGTCATGACATCCAGCGGGGACAAACACTCTAGTCATGCGTTTGCGTTGCTACGACGGCTTCGAGGGGCTTTTCCGGCTTCTGGGCTGGAGCAGTGACCTGGCATGACAACTAGAACTAGGAGAATTAGCCCCAAGCATAGTAATTCCATGAAGATTGGCCCAGACCAAGTCCAGAGCGACAAACCCACACAGCTGCCATGAACATGTCGGTACTGGCCTCGGAGCGGCAGCGATTGGTGCCTAGGGTCACGCTTGCAGCTTCTAGACGTGCGTACGGGGATAGGGTTTGGGGCCACGGTTGGGTTTCGAGACGTCTAAGCAGCCAGAAAGCAGCGAATTGCGGCTGACATCACGGTTTCTCAATGATCTCAACATCCTGCAGTCCTCCTGAGGAGACCCCTGATGGCACAATTGATCGACGCATGTAAGCCCCCTATGCCGATGGCGAGCCAGCCTCCAGCATTGGGAAATCCAGAAGCACGCGAAGCCGCGGCGAAGCCAAAGCCTTCGTGCACGGATTCGGGTCATCTCAACGAGACTGAAAAGAAGGAGCTCAATGGTGTGACTATGACTGTGATGACTGTGTGACCCGGAAGCCGGACGACCACACTCCAGCTGTTCATGCCATCGCGAACAGCAAAGAAAAAGCTCCGACAGCCATGGCCGGTTTGCAGCGCTCGCAATAGCTACGTCTAACTCTTCAGCACAACGTCCTGGAACCTCCGAATCGCCAGAAGAAATCTCAAGCCAACAACAACAACAATGATGATGACAATGAAACGCCCTGACTGATAACGGCCACCAGAAGAAAACGGAGACGAACACCCATCCATAACATTCAGGGATCCTCCCGGCTCATCCGAGCGCTGCATCTGCGTCAGCGAGACTAACTGCTCGGGGCAGCGCCTCGGCTCAAGGTGATAAAACAGTATTGTGTTCTATGATAAGCTATATGATAGTCTATTAAAGTATATCAATTCAATTACTGTATCGCAAACTAGACTGTAGTACGCATAGTACGCGAAAGGGTACTATGATCTAGTATGTCTCGAGCTCTCGGGTTTTAATCGGGTTGTCGGGGATCGGCCTGTCCTTTCAATCATCGCTTGGGCGGGGGTCGTTCTTTTTGGGTTGACGGCGGTTGTCTTTTGTCAGCTGACTGCTTCTAGTCTCGCGGGTTTTAGGTTTAGGGAAAGTTTAGGGCTTACCGCATCTTTTTCCACTCGGGGCGTGGGGCCTCTAGGGCCTAGAAATGAGGGTCCTGGGCCTTGGGGTGTGCTGCAGTGGGAGGGTGCTGCAGCAACGGACCACGACGGGAACGAAAGACACAGTCGGCGGAAACAAACGATGCAGATCAACAAACAATGGACGCAGCTGAAGAATAAATCCGCCAATTCGGCAAACACTTCGAAAACGAAAAAAGGACACCCGTATCGGGGGTTCCTAAGTTTCGAAGCCTCTGCCACAGCTTTGATCGAGCTCCGGCTCCTTATTTCAATCCTTTCGGGTCACATACAGTCATGCTCTGGCAGTGCTCGGCTTCTCGCTGCTGGGACTAACCTGTAGCGCGACAGCATGTCCTGAAATGAATGGCTGCCGAAGTGCACTCGCGCCACATCCAGCAAGGTAGGGTTGTACTTGCATGGTCCTTCCGCATCGACAGTCACATAAGACAGGTGCTTGATTGAATTTCCTCCCACGGACTTGTGACTCGCGCGGTCTATGTGATGTCCCACCACAGTCGAAACCCAAACTGGCCGAAAACGAACTGTGTGAGCCATCGAGCCTGCAGTTGTTTCGACCCTCACGACTGGACGACAAAGCCCGTCCTGCAGCAAGGCCCTCACCAGACACCCGCACCTTCCTCAGCTCCAGTGAGCACATCAATGCTACAGGGGTCTTGTGCCAAGTTGCTCCCTCCTATTGTCCCTTAATGAAATCAGTCCGGGATCCGGCACCCTATAGGCTGCTCCGAAGCGTCTGCAACTGAGCAGCAACAGCAACAACAACAACAACAGCAACAGCAACAGCAACAACAACAACAACAAGAACAAGAACAGCAGCAACACCAACACCAACACCAACACCAACACATCCACCACCACCACCACCACCACCACCACCAACAACAACAACACCAGCAACAGCGGCAGCAGCAGCAGCAGCAACAACAACAGCAACAGCAACAGCAACAGCAGCAACAGCAGCAACAGCAGCAACAACAACAACAACAGCAGCAGCAGCAACAACCGCAACAACAACAACAAGACGAAGAAGAACAAGAAGAGTACCAGCAACAGCAACAGTAACAGCAACAAAACAATAGTACTGGTATAGGTTTGCTGCTACTGCTACTGCTACTGCTGCTGCTGCTGCCACTGCCACTGCCACTGCTGCTACAACCACTCTGACTTTTGTTCCTGCTAGTGAATGTGACCACAACTAATACCTGCAAGCATCGTGTGTGTGTGTGCGCGTGCGTGCATATCTCCATGCAAACACTTCTACATACCATGGCTACTAGTGCTTACATGTGGCTGCCACTACCACTAAGGCCGAAAGCCACCCTTTCTTACGACCACTACTTGTACTCCGACTGCTCATCACAATGCTTTGTTTACTAGTCCTGACCATGTACATGCTCTTCCTTGTACGGCTACCAATCTACTGCTGACACTACGAGTAATTAGTGCGGGAAGAAGACCACGCCACACCCCTGTTCCTGTTGCCCACCACTGCTCTTGCTGCCAGTACTATCGAGATGCTGCGGACACTGAAATGCAACCCGGGCAGCTTGTCGAAGCTGTACTCGCACATCCGGACCAAGGAGTCTCCAGCACCGGCCATCGCGGAGGCCTGCAACTGGATACTTTAGAGGGCTTTAAGCAACAGTACCCGCTACGCTAGATAAGGTCTCCAGTGCTGTTTGCACACTTGGAGCTGATGGTTGGTGACAGGTGCTCCTCGGGGAGGTCATGTGACTCCTCAGGTCCTCAGTGCCGAACATGGCGGGATCTTGCTGTGACATGTTCAAAGAAGCCCGTGCTCTCGTTTCTCTTTCTGAACATGCAATGTTCCTACAGCCCCAACCAACAAATTCCAGAACAAGCGAAACCTGCAAAACCCTCCTACCTGCATCCACCAAGTCCGTATCCCTAAATGCCTGGCTCGGCTTCGAGGGCAGTGCTCTGCAAGCGCTGCGGGTGTCCACACCACCGTAGGTGCAGCCCCACGAGGACTTACCTGGTCTGGTGAACTCGACACTTTGAGCCGCAGGACTGTCAGGAGTGATGGATCCCAAGGTTTAAAGAGCACGCGGCCTCCTGGAAAGACGCTGCCAGCGCCACCGGCACAGTTGTTGAACCTTGCGTTGGACTTGGAGCTGCATGTGGAGCCGTGGCATAAACAAACCCGATAGCACAAACACACTCTCTCTGGCGGGGGGGGGGGGGTTAACCTGGCTGACCTTGTGCGGCTGGCAGGCATGCAGAAGTGATCCAACATATTCCCCGATGTCGAAGAAACTGGTCCTTGAGGCTAACATCAATCCATGCGAAGAATAGACCCGCATCACGCCCGAAGCCCTTTGCCCATGCCAAACTATGCAGCGAAAAGATCCCCAAGAGGATCACGCATATTCTTCTGTCTAACAGCAGCTGCATCTGTGCCACCATGCTAACACTTGCCTTGCCGTTCTTGGGTAGTACGATACTCAGGTGCATGCCGGCCATAGCCATAACTCCCATCACAGATTCCGGCGCCCCGATCGGACTGGCGTCGCAGATTCCAGCTCCGATCACTCACCCCCAACCCTGACCCGATTTCTAGCTCCCCCGAGCTCTCAAGATTCTCAATCTAGTGCGGGCACAACGCCCTTCAGCTTTTGAGAGACGTGCAGCAGCTGCCACGAACTTGCCAAGGAGCGCTCCAGTGCCGCCTGCTCCCATCTGGAGGTCGAACTGCTTGCCATCGACGTCCCAGCCTGGCAGGAACACGACGCAAGTGAGATGCAAGCATACGTCGTGCAGATTTTGCTGGCGTGCTTGTGGCTTTGCGACATGACGAAGCCACACCGCAGGAACCAATGTTGCCCTGTCGGCGAAAGCCTTCACACCATTTCTGGCGGCCAGACTGGCTAAGGTTGCATTTCAACCCGGATCATACTTTTGCTCACTGTCCACCTTCACGGGCCCCCTTAGATGGCATCCGCTTCGAATCCCCGAGTCGACACAAACATGCAGCTTGCAAAGCCGAAAGCACAGACTATAGCAGAACCATGATTCCTCCCGTTGCACAGCACCTGTGTTGACGGACTGTGCAATGATGTCCCTGTCGACACCTTCAACCTGCTTGCAGGCAATGCTTGGCTTGAAGCTTCGAATCTAGGACCAAAGATCAAAAGAAGCATTGTACTTCGACGACTTCCCCGTGTCATGGCTACATGCACCCCAGCAACTCGTCTCGCCGCAGTCGTATACCCTTTAAAACTTAGCCCGCCTTGAGCCGGTAGCAGGCGCCAAGCCCCCGCTGGGGATCGGTGGTTGTGCCATAGGTGCCCACGCCGAAGTAGACCTGTTCTTGCTTGCTCAGGGTCATTCGGGAGCTTTATTCAGTGCTCGGTCCGAGTGATGAACCCTCAGACGACAGCCCTCATGCGTCAGTAGCTTCTGTACATCTATACAAACCGAAGCCGAAGCGTAACCAAGAGCTGCCTTCTCGCCCGTCTGCTGCTGGAACTGAGCTTCCCCGGAGCGCATCGCCGCGCTGCCGAACGTCCAGTCCTGGAAGAGAAAGGTTACAACTTCAGGGTCTGCGCAGCTTTTCCCACTTTCAATTTGTAGAAAGCAGTCATTCCTGCAGCAATGTCGGATTCACTGCAGGCAATCTCCAGATTTCTGACGAGGCCTTATATTCAGGTCCTTTGAACCTTCTCCGGTCCTTCATGACTCAAGAGAGCGTATTGGCAGCGGATTCTGCTCTTGTCCAGAACTTGAGAAACTCGTTCGGAAGGAATGCATTCGTTGGGTCTTACATTGAAGAGCTGTCGGAGCGCGAGTTGAGGTGTAGCAGTTATAGGGCTTGATAATATGATTCGCAAGGACTCCATGCGTTTGTGGGGGAGGGGGTCGCTTTTCTGGCATAGCAGAATGCGGAATGAATGCCAGGTCGAGAACCTCTGGGCCGAAACTGTGAAATCATTCTTGCACCTGCCGCCTCACTGTGTATGGACGAGCAAAGAGCCTGAACAATGTCCATGAAGCCACGTCTCTAGGCAAGCATAGGTGGCGTCGCCGTTGCCCGTGGGCTCGGCCGGACAGTGATAGCCGCTCTGGCCACCTCTCAGCAGAGCTCGGAGGAGAGGCTCCCACACAGAAGCACAAGCACCAGGCGAGCTCCGCCTGACGCACACATAACGCCAGGGCGGCTGCCGGCGTTAAAGCAGCGACCACAGCCGCTGCAGCCTCGGACTCGTTGATCGTCCGGTGTCTTTTTGCTCGAGGATGTCTTCAAAGGCCCCGCGGCACGCAAAATGATTTCACTGCTCCTGAAACTCTGAAGCATCACCGAAAACACAGTAGGAGAGCATTGTGGTTGCCAGCCTCTGGCAGCTGTTGCGGGATCCGGCAATTTCGGTAGCTAGTGATTAGAACAGAAAGTATGTTGCCATCAGGATCTAAGGTCCTTGCCATAGCTGCTGCAGCCGCCAACAGCCGATTTGCTCTCGTTCCGCACTGCCAGGAAGTCCTGAAAGCTCCGCTTCGGACGAAGGAAGGCTCCGGAAGCACAGAAAGCTCAACAAATCACCGGCTATCCGTGTACGGCAGTGCACAGAACCCCAGGAGTCTATGCGACATAACTACAGGATGGCCATGTATGGCTTCTCTATCGCGGGGCAGCAGGGCGGATCGGAGAAAGCTGGTACTACTGTTAACACGACCTTATGCAACCCTGGAGCTACTGCTTCTCATGTTGTCCTAACTGAACCTAATGGGAAGAGTCGGCGATTGCCCATGTAGCGCAATGGAAGGGTGCAGAGCAGAACCGCTGCCGGAGATTGTACAGTCCTGACCACAAGCCAAGAGCGGGGACAACAGCAGCAGAGTCGCAATAGATCGGCCCATTTCTGATGCTGGAGGATGACGACTCTATCCGTGTCAAGCCAGGAGCAAACGATCCGAAATGCATGCATGGAGTGGCATTCGGGGACTTGGTGAATGAGCTTGTCGGAGGCATGCAAATGTAGAGAAATATGGGCCGCGGCTGTCTAAGCTCAAACAGCTGCGGCGAAACGACTCTGCCATGGAGAATTGGATTCTTATAATGTGACCCGACCTCAAGTATGGCAGTCACGATGCATTCTGGTGCAAAGCAATGGTCTCTGCTTCCCTCCGGCTGTGCAAGCATCAACCTCCGGCTGTACAAGCATCAAACCTCTCCTTCACGCGTGAAGCTGCAGTCCCAACAGCTCGGGTGGCTTCGGTGGGCTCTGTCGTGCAATGAATCCAAACCGCATCAGCACTTAGCAAGGCTGAGCTTCCGGCGATGTTGCCGAAACTCTTGCAAAGCCTGAGCGAGAATTCGGAAGCGTCGGTGTTTTCACGAAGGCCTACACATCGCCATTCTGAACATCCTAAGCCGAAGTGCCTCTATCGGTCTCCCAAGTCCGGGATGCAGCCAGGAGGCCGTTCGTTCCTTTCCAAGTTCATGCCGACCACATGCTCGAGCAGGATGCTCATGCCTTGTCATCTTCCCAGAGTATGTCTTTGCAAGATTTTGCAACTTCTGAGTTCCTATATAAGGTCCTGCGAGTGGCCTCTTCTAGTTACTAGCTAGCGTCCAGGACGTCTCTTGGCTTGCAGACCAGAAAATCTGGGGTCGAAGTCAATCCCAGAATCATGTTACCTCTACACTCCCAACTTGATCCATGTTTACAGCCATGCCAAGTGCACACATCTAACACACGGAATGCTGAACTATTAATGACAATCTTCATATGTCCGCCGAGCGAGGGTTTTTTTCAACTACAAACTTCCTGATCCGTTTACGTGGTAGCCCAAACCAAGGGGAACCCCACATGCTGGGAATCGCGGTGGACACGACCTTTCATGCGCTCTCCCAAGCTTCCGGCAGTCAGCAGCGCGGCTGCGGAGCGTTTCGTTCAGCTCCCGGCAATCCTTGTGTTTTTGGAGTGCGCTTGTCGCAACTTACACCACCTCACCGTGGCTTGAAGCGAGGTGCGGATAAGTTGAACGCATGAGGCCCACGATGTGGGAATAAGACAAGGCTCGTTCAAACTGAATGATCGCCTAGCAAAGCTTAACTGTTTCATGTATATTGGGTAGGAAAAGGAACACCATCAATCCCGGGACCCTCCAAGTCAATGTGAATCTGAACCGCTCTGGCTGGCTTTCAAGAATTCGCAGCATAAGGCGCAAACCATGGAAGCCCTGGAGTGGAGCCTAAGCCAAGCTTTGGAACATTAGGTCGCCAACCACGGTCACCATCTGCATGCGCATCTCGTTGGGCAGCTGCTGCCTTGGGCCATCAATTTGAATCGCAAGATGCTAGATTTGTGGGCAGGGATAGCAGGTTCTGCTGCTTGCGTCTGAACTGTTGGGTACTGATTAGGCATTCTATATGTCTACGGATGTGTTTCTAAGTTCCGCAGCTTCAGGACATTATGTGAACGAAGAGACGTCTAAGCTACGCAGGCAGCCCGTACCCGTAAAGCTCCATCTCGCCCGAACGAGTGCGTGTAGGATTTTCGTGGCAAGGGCGGCAAGGGAAGATGCTTTCTGTGCACTTGGATAACAGAGGTCCAGGCCGGATTCGGAGATCGATCGCCTCACCGGCATTCACGAGCTTACCGGCTTAGTGCTCTTCAGGCTGCCACTGCAAATGCGTCTGTCGGAAGGCTTGAAGCCACACAAAGACCCTAAATTTTCTAAACCTTCCATGTTCGGCATGGCCTTCAGGGCATCGACTTTCTCTAAGTACTTCGGTATGGATGCCGAAGAATCCTGTCAAGGAAGCGAGTGTGGAGCCTGTGCAGTTGCTGCACATCAGGACTCAGATGCAAGTCATGCCAGCAGACCCGTGCGCACCCACGCCGGTGCCCACACACACCCACACCAACCAGACAGACAGACAGTTAGTTAGGATGCTACAAGATAAAGCGAACAGACAGCTCAGCCAGTTTGCATGGAGCCTCCCTTGCAGATCGCACTGCAAAATTTTGTCGGCCTCTTCAACCCAACAACGTGCAGCATAATCAATCGAATTCGGGGCCGCAGATTTTTCTTCGAAAGCTTGTGGAGGATCTGCATGGTCCAGCTGGAGTGAGGAGCTTCAGAAGCGCTTTCTGTAGTGGGAATGCAGGGTCAGGCAACAGGTCTAGTCTTGTCCGATACTTGTACAGCAGCAGACGAAGAAGCCGAAAACCGTCATGGCGATTCAAACGCAACGTAATTGGGCCTATGGTACAGCAGCAACAGCAGCAGGTGCAGGAGCCCCGTTGCGGTCGTCGGCTTGTCACTGCTAGTCGTGGCGGCAGCAAGGAGCACCAACCAAAGCAGCAATAGGAATATGAGGGCGGGGGCGGGGGGGCGAGAAGGACGAAGAAGGCTTCAAGCAAAAATTGGGGCCGCTGAACGTCTCTACAAGGATCCCAAAAGTCAAGGTGAAGCAACAGGAGGTCTCCTTCAGGAATTCTTTGATTCTTTCCTCCTCGGTGATGAGGAAGGTATACCTTAGTCACTTTGCAGACCCCTTCAGCTTCTGTGACTTCGGGGTGTCGTAGGTCTAGGGGAACTGCCCCTACACCGAGATATGGATGTTTGACAGAGGATACCACATGGTGAACGTGGAACTAACCTTTCGGAAGATAAGCGAAATTCATTGAACGAAAAATCATGCAGAAAAACATGTAGCAAACACAAAAGCAGATCTACAACGGGGTGTAATGCGAAACTGTACTGCACAGTGCTGTGGTACCGGTTACTGCTGTACAGCGCCATCAGTTACCAGTTAACAGATGAAAATTAGATGTGGTTGGCATATCGTACAACTTTAGCATCTGTATATATGCAGACGAATGTGACACATGTCTACCTGCATACATGCATGATACATACACATATAAATAGCTACCCAGGCTTACGCAGGCACATTGTTGGCCACGGCAACACAGGGACACGGGTGCATGCAAACACATACTGTACTCGCCTTTTTCTTTATGATGTTGGACTCGACTTTCGGGGCTCGCATGCAAGGCTATTCTTGTCAGGACACCAATGCTCTGGTCAAAAGACGGGGTCGTAGAGTGCATGCTGAGTTGGCCGTGCATGGTCGCTCCGGCCAACCGAGCAATGCATGCACAACTGCAGAACCACCAGCCGAGGCCAAAACTCATTGTAGATTCGCTCAGCCTTGCAGAGTAGAGGGGAAAATCGAAATATCCCTCCTGATTTTCGTCCCGATCATGTTGGTAGACTCGCCGCCGAAAAGCTTCGATGCTGGCTTCGTACATCCTGGAAATGCTGTGATGTCCAAACCCGGAATCTGCGCTTGTGTAGGTGTCCCACAGCGAGTGTCTCGGACGTCCGTTGCTAGAATCGATTGCTAACAGTCTCGCTGTAGGCTTCGCATCCAACGCGGATGCGAGCGCTGCCGAACGTTTGGGCCCTTTGCGTTCCACGGAGCCAACGACTGGGAGACAGGAGCCCTGGTCAAGAGTCACGGTGTGAAGAATCGGTAATCGTGCTGGCGTGAGCGGCTCCAGAGGCCAACCCTAAGCCTTGGGCCTCGGAGGCGTTGCCCATGTTGAACTGCACCGTTTGCTCGATGAGCTTCTGGGCCTGGCGATCTTTCAGAGAGCTCTGATGTGGGATATCTTGGCACTCGGGACTGCATCGGGTCGGGCATATGGGTTCTCCAGGACTCTAGGGGTCGTAGGCTAGGATGAGCTTCCGTCGGGCTGATAGCTGGCAGATACCACAGGGTCCGAGAAAACTATGTAAATGTAACTATCTGTGGAAAACGGGCAAGTCATTCTCAGACCAAAGAGCAACCTCAACAGCAAAGGCTGAAGCAGGGAAAATTGCGAGCTCTCGAAGATTGCATAGATCCTCGCCTGGATGGCAGATGTGGAAACCACCACATACGCTTCTAAGAATACTGGGAAACTAGACCCTGAAACTTTCAGATCCCGTCCTTTCTCAAACACTCGAAATCGCGTCAAACCTCTTCCATCCCAAGCACCTCCTGCACGTACTCCTCCTCCAGGAATGTACCCCACCTGGGACCGCGTTTGAGGGTTGGGCTTCGAACTCGAAGCTAAAAATGCTCTCGGGCAGACTGAGTGTGGGCAAATGTCCGATGCATCATCGAACCTGTCTAGTCTGCCTACCGAAACTTCGAAACCAAACCCCACTTCCTCTGCCAGGAAAGCCAGCTTTATCCAGCTCCCGCCCAACAAAGCAATGGAATCTGCCGCCCAGCCACAGGTTCTTGGAACTCTCTTTGGCCCCGCTTCCTCCACCCTGACAAGCCATAAAAACTCAGAGGCTTTAGTCTTGACAATTTCGTGTGCTCGTTCACTGAAGGTCTTACTGTCACGAGCTGTGGACTCTGCCTGTGAACGCCTTTGCTACATTGGCTTGGCACCCTGTCAACCCGGGTCCATAGCTATAGACATCCGAATCCCAAACCTTGAAGCCTGATTTGGAACAAAACTCAAGAGTTGGAAGTTCGGAATGCTCGGAGCGTTTTTGCTCCCTTCGGAGTTCATCCCGCTACACCCTGGCAGACCTGAATCCGACTTTCTGGCGATGGGATGTCGTTCAAGCAAACGACGAACTCTTTGAACCTGGTAGCGCCAGGGGCTGCGGGCTGCATTCTTCGCGTTTCCTCCGCACAATCCTTGAATGCCTTCGTCCTTTCGAGCCACGATTTTCTGGCTTCAACAGCAAGTGGTTGAACCTCTGAACCCATACATAGCAGAGCTTCGTCCTCGTTTACTCCATTAGCATAAGGCTTCTTCTGGGTGGGTCTATAATTGGTCTCCTGCTACACAGGGACTCAAGCATGCCCCTCCCCTTCTGGCGTGATGTGTGGCTTCCTGAGGCTGGCACACTCTGAGCACGCGTTCAACCACGCGCTCCGTTGAGTCCTTGAGTTTCACTTCGTCACCTGGGGCGTTGAGGGTCGTGAGGGTTCACCTTTCAGCTGAGAACTCTAGGACTGTTAAGCTTGTGGGAATTAACAATGCTTCGGGATGCTCTGAAGCCTAGGGCGCTCCTGCAAATGGGGATTTGGAAACCTCGTGGTCAACAGCAGCTGGGTCAAAACCGGGACAACGTGCCCATGATGTTGTCTGGTGGATCTCCGTCAATGGACCACAGAGCAAAAGACTCTACAGCTGAGCTTGCTGACCTTTCGGCACCAGCTTGACGACCTCATGACCGAAACTAGCGGGCATGCAATAAGTGTAGGTACACTTTAGCGCTGCAGATTGGCAGCTTGCGGCAAGAGCACCTCGACAGACCTTGCTGCCTCGATCTTATACACACTGCCAGCCCCATCTTTGAGCCCATAAACCCCGCAAACGTCTTCAACGTCCGCAGGTCGCTTCAGTTCCGGAAGTAGACACAGCCCGACGGTTGGATGAAAGACCACACGACTGAGGATCGTCAGGCGGACTGCCAATGCTTCGATCATGGCTCGTATACTTTCGTGTAAGAAGTAGTGTCTAGACTCTAGACTTTGTAAGGTATTGGGATTTGGGGTCAACGCTGGAGTTTGCGGGAGCCCACCGGCCATGGCCGCTGTTGTTTCGTAAGCTAGGGCTCATCTCAACATGCAAGGCAGGCTCCCATCATGTAGTACAGTCAGACCCGGGCTACAAAAGAATCCTGGCCGGGCCTTCGAGATCCCACCAAAAAGGACACAACCTTTCTTTATAACCTGTTGTTTTACTGTTTCTTCAATACACATCTAGGCGCCCCACAAGGAAGGCATCCTGGCGATCATCCGTGTCCTTGAGCCTCAATGTCGATCAAGTCTTCGTGCTCACTCCCTTTAAAAGGGCTGGAGAACGAAGGCTTGTGGATTGAGGGGCGAGAACGACGAAGGTGACATCCTAAGTGGCTGATGTGTTCGAGAGTGTCCTTTGGCTGGTCTTGAGGCTCAGCTTTGCAGAGGCTGAGCCTCTGGGGCCAAAGGCCCAAGTTTCCTGGAATCCGACTTCAGAAGCCCTGAGCTTGCTGACGCAGAAGAAGGATCTCCGAGGGCGAAACAGGAATCCCCAAGTGTACCACAACCCCGAAGCTCGACCGTGTGTTGCCCGACTGGGAACCGCACTGCACAACCTCTTCTGGACTCAAGGGCCTCGGTTTAAGATGGTCTTGAGACCGAGTGTTCGACATGCTTCAAGAATTCTTGGGGCCGATGTGCCGCAGTGCAGAAAGGCTTGCTGCATGGCTTGCGATGATACAAACGACGGCATTTTATTTGAAGTCAGCATGCCAGACATTCACAAGCTCGTTGGAAGCGTGGAAAATCCTACAGTGCTCCTGCAGCTGATGGTAGTATCCTGCGGTGACTGTGGCATCCAGGCCAAAGAGTACAATAGGCTTCGCTGCCTGCGAGCGGCTTCGGGTCATCAAAACGCCGGAAGAAGTCGGCATAGGCAGCCACAGACTGTGCTACCAGGTCCCGAGTCCTGGGACGAGCAGGGCATGAGGGAACTCTAGGACACAGCAGGATACATACTCCAGCGATTTTTTGATGCAGGGATCATGAGAAGGCTTGCCAGGTGGATGAGTCTCCGGAGTGTGCAACCGGAATCTGTCACATGTTACATGTTAGCAACGAGCACAACATACTCGAACCATCTTGTCTTGCAGCTCAGGCGTGGTGCAAACCAAACCACCATAGCCATAGTTGTGTCCATGACAGAAAGGCAAGCCCGAACACGCAACACTTCTCAATTCAAGGACGGTGCTGTACCGACAGCAGCGCCCGGATCCCGGCGAAGAATCGCTGTTCTGCAGGGCTCCTTCCACCGCGATCGCAAGCCAAGGACACCCGTCCGGGCTCTTCGTATGGGGAGTTTCCACTGAGGGTTTTGAGGGAGCCGGAGCTCCTCCTTTTAAAAACCCTGGGGCAACAAATCCCTTCCTGAACTGCGATCCCTGTGAACTCCTGTCCAGCAGGGGGCCATGAAATCATGCGCAAGTCGCCGTGCAGCAACTGCACCATAACTCTTGTCCAAGCAGTCAAGTGGTCAGCACTTGAGACGCCCGAACTGCAAACTGGCAGCTCTGTCCTCAAGTGCAGGTTCTCCTGGCACAAAGGGTTTGGAACAACTCGTCGACAGCCAATGCGGAGACGGTTGCTGAGGCCAAGGTCGGGTCAGGTATAATGATGCTGAACCGTAGGTTGCAAAAGTCTCCTGGCAAGTGTGTTTGTTTCTCGCGGCACCAATGCCACAATGCCAAAGACAAGTTAGAAGCCACAGCCCCGGCCCTTCTGAACGCTGCCCAAACCTTCGGGCCAGGCCCTGAACTGCAAGGCGCCTCGCGGAGGATGGCACAGACTTCCTCGAACCACTGGGACTTGAACCTCGGTCCAACGCAGTTTCTGACGGAGTTTGGGCGTCTTTTTTCATTTCGAGAATGCCACGAAGAGTGGGCATGGGAAAAACACCGAAGGGGAGGCACCCTCCTTGGCTTTGCATTCAGGGCCCCCGCTTTGCAAACACCTCGTGGCAGCAAGCTTTCTGCCTGGCAATTGCTCTCGTGACCAAAACTTCGGGCTGAAAGCAGTTCCCAAACACCTTGATCCTACAGCACATCTCATATCTGCCCTCGCTGTCATGCCCACCCATCTGGCAGCACTCGCCTTTCGGAGAAGTGGTCGATGTCTACCTGCCATGGGTTCAGTGTTCAGAGTTCATGCGCAATTGATTCTCACGAGCTTGCCGGGCTGAGTGATTTCCTGCAACCACGTCCCTAGTTTTCTAGCTGTATTCAGCTTCGACCCTTCAAACGAGCAGTTCCTTGCACTGGTAGATTCTCGGAGGCTTTTGGCGAGGTCACGTACACATTATCATACTCCGTACAATATCAGCACAAGCTTTGGTACCGGCCCTATCAGAAAAGCTGGCCGAAATGCCCATCGCCCACTACTCCCCGACTTGTTCAAAACTCAGCTCTCTTCCTGGGAGTACTCGGAAGGTGGCAGCTGAAACGACTGACTGCGAGAACGCCTTGCATTCCTAGCATGGTGAATTTAGTAGTAGTTTAGGCGCAGGGATGGAATTAAGGCCCAAACCATGGCCGTCGAAGGAGGCGGCAGATCCACTAGGAGCATGGACCCATAGCCCATGCCGTACCTCGCAGTGCCAGCTCGGTCCAACTGCAAAGCCGGAAGCCTCAAGCTCGTGAGCCTAAGAAAAACCCAAGCGGGGCCCAGGGCACCACAGGTACAGGAGGCGTAGAGCCGATTGGTTGCAAACCGTGAGGTTCCGCACCTGCCATCGTCAGCCCGTTGTTGGCTAATCGAAATGTCCCTTGGCCCTCAAATCGAATCGGACGAAGCTACCCAGAGATGGACTGCCTGCAGGAGCACTGGGACTGCTGGGACATCCAGTTCAGCCACAATGCCCACAACACTTCAGCATGTTGACTCTGTAGGTGATTTTGTGCTGACATTACACCGGCATGTTCAGCTTGGCCATGACATCTGCACTTTTTCAGGAACCGCCGCGGCAGAGCGAAGTATCAGCCGATCCAGCTCCTCCTGGCTCGCACCAGCGCCAGCGGAAGCACTTTTGCACCCATGTCTCGGGCGTGTAAACTACGAAATGGACACACGTCTGCACGGAACCAGATCGTGAACCTGCTGCAAAACAATGGAGGCCGAACACAGAACTCCAAACTCAGGCCAAGCACAAAACTGATCCTTTCACCGCCAGCACCATCACGCTTCCCCACATGTTAAAGACTTATGTTATAGCTTCAACTCTGGAGCGCCAGGTGTTGGAGCTCCCGGAGTCGATGAGCAAACGACTCTGCTGCAGAGCCGGCCAGGCAAACACCATGACTGACATGAACCATTTCAAGACAATAGCCGCATGCACTCCCATGACAGGGAAACTGCAAAAGCCAAACCTGAAAGGGATCTGCAAAGAGAAACGCAGATCATCTATTCCGCAAACAACTGGAGAAAGAGCTGAACATCTCTATGAGTCCCCAAACCTGCATGGAACAGACCCCGTCTGCCCAAGCAAAGGTAAAGCCCTGCGTCCTCGAGGACCTGCAGCTCAGCAGGTTTGGACAGGCGGTGGTCACCGCCGTGGATTTGGCGAAGGGTTGCCTGCATAGGTCTTAGGTTTCAAGGTGCAGGAATGGAAGCACCGAGCTTTCGATTGTCCTGGCTACACAAGTGCCTGTGGCCCTTGACCAAGTGGCCAGGAGGTTGACCGTCAAGTCAAGAGAGGGACTTGAAGAATAAGAAAATACCCCCTCAAAAAGCCTCTCTAAGTCGAATCCTTTGCTTTCTGTCAGGCAACCTGCCCTTTAAAGCTGCAGCTGGCCGAGGGCTCTCGGGCCCAACTCAGCAGACGATGCTTGAAAAGAGGAGGTCCAAAGGACGGGCGCGGTTGGTGAGGTAAGTAGGTTCGGATGCCCAAACTTGCAATCGCTCCCGCAGTAGGAATCCTTGTAAGACTGAGTACTGGCCCCAGTTGGGGTTGTAGGAATCCAGACATCTCGAGAAGTACGTTTAGCTTGCTTGCGGCCCTGAAGGGGCTCGACATACAAACGTTATCAGTGGCTTTGTTAGCGCCAGAGTTGAGATCTTGGGCGAGTTGTGCAGTTCGGGCTCCGTGCCTCTCCCCCCTTAGCCAGCAATTGGCCGAGGAGCTCTTCCTTGATTGCAGGCTGCAGGGAGATCATTTTTCCCTACATGTATGCATTTAGGCTAATTACACACTTCCATTGCACTCCCGCGGCTGCTCATGGCTTCTCAAGTGTGGGTAAAACACTGTCGGCTGTGACATCCTTCAGCCGTAGGTCATGAACGAACTGAGTATTGAAATCATGCTCGCGCACTAGGGCTGGATGCCACCTGATACTCAGCAGTCCAAACCCATGGTCAAAACAGAATGGTAAGTACTCTTAAGACTACGATCACACTATCCAGGCACTCCCGGCTGCTAGCAGCTCAGCAACCAAATGACAATTGCTCTCAAAGTTGGGCCGGCTGGGCAAAGTTGCTGAAGCATCAGCGCAGGGAGCAAGGCACCAAAACCCCAGGTAACAGAACAAGGAAACAGTTCACTGGTATACAGCAAGCATAAGCAAGCATGAGCACACATAGGCATGTGAAAGCAAGTTCATAGAAGCTCCGAGAAGTAACAAAGTTGGCGAAAATGTAAACTGGCCTGGATACATTATCAAACCCATTCATTTACACGGTCTTGTGAACAACCCCTACACTTCCATGTAGCATATGTATATTGGAGACACAGCTGTAGACACATGGGTCCTTCGTTTCGGCTCTATCGATCTGTTCATGAGCATATGCAAGACCGTCCGCGCGCGCACGCACTCGTGCGCGCCTCTCTCCCTCTCTCTCTGTGTATGCGTATGTATGTATGTATGTATGTATGTATGTATGTACCTATACCCCTAAGAACCTATAAA